AATCAACATTTTTATAGAATAAAAAATAATATTTATAATAGTATATATTTATTATAAGATAATTAAAAAAAAAAGACAAAAAAATAATAAAAAAAAATAATTACATAACTATAAAGATGCCATTAATATAAAATAGGGATGCTATTAACCTTCCCCTTCCAAAACATTCCCTAAAAAGTGAGCCCCAAACAAAATCAAAATTTGTCTGCTTTGAAGAACTTTTCTGTAATTGTACTCTATATTGTACTGGGTTGGATAAGATGGCAGGTATGTCCACAGAGGGACCACCATCACCAACATCATCATCACCTCACCTCAATACACCTCTCTTTCAATTTCCTTCTTTACAAACACAAAAATCATTGAAAGAGACTCAAGAAATCAATGGCCACAACTTCAATTTAGCCTTTCCATTTCTGGTGAGTCTAAATTAAACCCTTTCAATTTCAACAAAATACGATGATTTAGGGGTTTTTTTCTTCGCTTTTTTGTTTTTGTGGTTGAAATCAAAATCAATCTCATGTTCTTGTGCCCTGATTCACACACACCTACACACATCGAAACACTACAGATTTTTGTCGATTTGTGTTCATTTTTGTCATTTACTTTGATGAATTGACATCAGTCTTGATACTTGTGCCTGCTATTTTCAGTGAAGTCTGTGTATGTGTGTAGGTGTGTGTGTGCCTGCCTCATTCTTGGCTTCTTCTTCCTTTACCCTTTAATTGTCAACATCTAGTGCTCACTATTGAGGTTAAATTATAAATAAATATAACATTAGTTTTTTAGCTTTTAGGGTTTGCCATCTGTTGCTTCTGCTTATTGGGTATGGGTGCAATCTGTTCTTTTTGTTGTGTTTTGACATATATGAAGTTTTTTCCCTCAATTTTTGTTTGTTTTTGTGGTAACCATGGATTCACGGACCGGTTAGGACCGGTTACGTGCAGACTAATCCCTTGATGACCACGAATGGACCGGAGTCGAACCTCCAATGGCGAAGATGAGATTTCCACTTCCCCTTCGACTTAACCTGTGCACACAACCAAATAAACTGGTGCGTCACAGCCCAAGTGGTTTTTTTATCTGTTCTTTTAGATTTGGTTTATTGGGTATGGATCTTTATAAAATAAAAAATGATGTATTGTTTTTAAAGGGAAACCAGACAAATTTATAAACCACCAAAAAAACAAATAAGAGTAAGGTAAAAAGCCACAACCAGAGCCTTGTGTTATATGGTTTTTCGTAACAGTTTATTTTGAGAATCAATGAAATTCTGATAATTTTGAGAACTTTGCATCATGTGCTATTTCATATGATTTCTTTTTTCCATCCAAGACTAGTAGGATTTAGAATATTGATTAACATATATTCGTTTCACAATATGAACCTTTTAAAGATGTTTGTGAAACAAAAGTTATATTAAAGATGTTTGTGAAACAAAAGTTATATTCAAATAGTGAACATAATACATTTGCATCAAGCACATTGTGAAACAAATATATGTTCATAAATACATTAAATGCTAGCTTTAGATAGGAAAAAATGATGTGAAAAGTTACTCTAAAGTTCTCACAGTTATCACAATATATAGAGTTCTCACAGTTATCACAATATATAGAGTTCTCACGGTTATCCTAATATATAGAGTTCTCATATTACACCTCCTTCACTACACAAATATCTTTATTTTGTTAGGTGTTGAAGTATATATTGGACCCTTTTCTTTCTTTTTTTCTTTTTTTTATTAACCTGGATATTCAATCTGCTATGTGAGTCGACTAATCCCGGGGCAACCACCTGCTTTGCAGATAGCCCGGAGTCACCACATTTGACCCTCCGTGGCCACAAGGGAATTTTTATTCCTCCTTGGATTTGAACCTGGGACCTCCAGGTACTTTTGACCTTTGGAGCCAAGCTCAAACCAATCAGGCACCACCCTTGTGGTTTCTTTCTTCTGTTTTTTAAGCTTGGGATTGTTTCTGTGTGCTGGTACTTAGTGGGTATGGATCTTTATTGTGAAAAACCTGTTTGTTTGTTGGGGTTTGAACACAAATTGAAGATTTTTTTGCTTCTGGGGACTGTTCATCTTTGGATGCCAAGAAAACCTTATCTTTTTATAGGATTCTGAGTGAAAATTGAACTTTTTTAACTGGTTTTCAACTTAGAGTTGTGTCTCTATTGCTGATGCTTAGTGGGTGTGGATCTTCACAATAAAAGACATGTCCTTTTTGCTGGGGTTTTGAGTAGAAATTGAACATCTTTTTGTTGGAACAGTTAACAAACTCCAAAAAGATACCATTGAGGAAAAGACCAGCTTGTTTTTCTGTTTTCTAGCTTAAGGTTATTTCTCTATTGCTGCTCCTTTTTCCTTTCGGGTAATTGTGGGCCAGCTTACGTGCACAGATCAATCCCCAGGCAACCACGAATGACCTGGATGGCCATTCGTGCTTTGGCAACACCTGTATCTGTATCTGTATCTAAACCCTGATTAGATTTCACTATATTCCCCCGAGCCTTAACCAGTACGCTACAACCCAAGTGGTTTAACGGTTATGGTTGTTCACTATAAAACCCTATTCTTTTTATTGGGTTTTAAGTAAAATTAAAGTTTTTATGCCTATGGGTTTGCTTTAGGTTTGTTTTATGTGGGTAACAATCTGTTTTTACTGTAAAAATCAATTATTTTCTTGATTTTTTATGTTCTTTTTAGATCCTTTTTTGGACATGATTTCTAGTTAACTTGTGTTCTATCAGATAAAGTTGGAGAGGGAGACACAAGAATCAAGAATGGCCAAAAAAACTCACCAATCTTTATGTGTACTTTAGCTAATATGAGTTTTGTCCTTCTCCTAGATAACAAGTCCTCTTGGATTCTACTTGTGACTGATAGCATCTCCAATAGCTATGTTAAAGTAGAAATTTTGGAGATTTTAGAAGTTTTTTTTTTCTCTGACAGCTATGCTAAAATAGAGAAAAAGACAGTATAGAGATCTGTAAAACTTAATACTGAGGATAAAGATATATTAATTTAACTGTTACCACCAACGAGGTTGAAGTTTTAAAAGTGTAATGGGATGATTGAATTTATAAAATATTTTAATGAAAATAATTAATGTTGTCCGAGTTGAATGTAATTCTTTTTTAGAGATTTTGATTTTTGATGCTCTATTTTAGAAAAAAATTTAGCATATATGTTGGAGACGCTTTAGATAAAAATCTGTTATCTGCAAATTCCATGATTCTTTTTGTCCCACCAATCTCTTGAAGACACGTCATCATTTTATTTAATACATTTATTTAATTCGTCTTTTTATTCTCTCTCCCCAATAAAATGATTATGTGTCTTCATCTGATTGGTGGACACGAATAGGAAATGAGATTTGGGGACAACGTATTTTAATTTGTGTATTTAAGCCAAATCGAGTCTTTAGCTTGCTCTGCCCTCGAAAAAGATGGCAGGCTCGGGCTCACTTCACGAAAGGCTCAACCCCTTGACTCGGCTTGTAGGTTGTCTTCGTTCGACTCGTGTAGGCTCAATTTTTGTATGACCATATAACATTAAACGAAATCACAAACAACCCCATGTTAAAAGGTAAAGAGGGTAAAGGGATGTTTGGTTGGTTTTCTATTAAGTCATGTACGGATAAAGTTGTATAAAGCTAAGACTGGGAAAGTTTTTGTCTGGGAAGATTTTTTCATAGATGAAATTAACGTAATCATTAATTGGGATGGACATGTGTGGAAAACACTTGACTCTCCGCATAACCCCCCCCCCCCCTCTCTAGAAGCTTAGCCACTTTCGATATCATTAAACCACTACCAAACGGTCATATATAGCTGACCAAATAAGTTGTAAGTTCCATTAAACTTATTAAACTGCTAACAAACAAACCTGTAAATCTCACCCACGTGAGGTTTAGAAGTAGGATGTACGTAGACCTTTTCTCTACCACTTATTGTTTCATGTAAATTTGGTAAATCGACTTATCTAAGCTTGACGAATCAAAATCACCTCTTCTCAAACTCCATGTCCTCCTATCCATCGATCAACCCTCGACACATCAGGGTGATAATTAAATAAATATATATATATATCAAATAAAGTACTCATGTGTCATAAGTTGATTGGTGGGACAAGAAAGGGAGATGGAGTTTGGGAACAAGTGATTTATGTTCGAGTCGGACTCAGTTCGCCAACGAACTCGGTCCATGAGCCGACTCACCGAGCCTTTTCTTTTTAGAAACATTATATATATTCTAAATGCCTCCTATCTTCAGTTTTATCTCTTTGTATTCTGTTTCCTGGCTCCTGCGATTCTGGTTTTGGCCTTCTTCTTTGTTTCTGATCTGAAATACACATAAATTCTTGGCCTTTGTTCATCAACTTGCTTCAAATTTGGTTTGTAATCCCTTTTATGGCCTTTACACTTCAATTTCGCCTTTTTATTCGATATCGGCTTTTATTATCTGTCTTTCTTTTGAAAAATCTGTTTGTTTAAGCATATAAAGCAGGTTTCTTGCTGATTTTGAAATGGGATTTCCCAACTCATTTCAAGAACTGGTGGATTCAGGCTCTTGATCATGGGGATTCACTCTTCAGACAAGACCATGGACGCTCGTTCGATGGCCAACGGTCTGTCCGGAAACGGAAACGGCTACTATGGCTCAAGACACAACTCGTACCAACCGGGACCAAAGGTATCTCTATCTTGGCTTGATTTACGAGTTTTCTACATCCGAATTAGCAAATGCGATATCAACGATGAATCAACCTCTGAATATCTAACACTTAACCATGTGCCACTTAACCGCGATACTTTACTTGAAGTTAATGGGGTTAGATCTAGCATACACTCCGATGGCTCGTCGACCCTTCTTAGAAGAGACCGATTAGATAAGAAATCCGAGGAAGTTACATTCGTTAGTACCGATAGTCTTAGGACAACGGGAAGTTTGAAGTTTGAGGTTTTCGATAAGGATGTTCTTCTGGTTTCCGGGGTTCTTGATTTGTGTCATAGTAACGGAGTTCATGGTGAATCGAGTGATTATACGGGTAGATGGAGGATGGAATGTGAAACGGATATGGTTTCCGGAAACGGGTTTTTGAACGGAAAACAAAACATGGGGCATGAAGTGGATCCGCCGTCGCTTGAGGTTTGTTTGGCCGGGAGTTTCGCCGGAAATCCAATCATCTTGACGAAGACTTTAGAACTCGGTTACCGGAAGAAGCAAACGAGAAAAGGATTGCTTGAAGCCATACCGGAAAATGAAGCCATGGCGAATGAGGAAGAAGGCTCGTCTGGCCTTACGTACAAGGTACGTGCTTCTTATGTTTCGATTCTTTCGGTTCTCGTTTTAATATGGTTTCTATAAGTCCATCGTCGGTAGTTTTCGCTTTACGAATCCGTTTAAACGATGAAACGCGAATAAAAAGCCGATATCGAATAATAATGCTAGATAACGAAACCAAAAAATCGTCGGTAGTTTCGTTATCTAGCATAATGATTCAAGTCTTTAGTTCCTGTTTAGTGTAACGATTAATTTTTTTTTCTAAGTCGGCGTAAAAACGTGCAAATCTTGCAATTTTATACCCATTATATTATAACCAGTAACCGGTAAATCTTGTAACTATTGGTGTCGAGTTATAACGACAACATCAAAAAATTAATTGAGGTTGCGTAGGATGGAAAGAATTAAACGTTTGTCACACTGATTGGAAAAAATAAATTAGGAGCTGTTTACCAAATACTTACTCAGTAAGTGCTTACCGGTAAAATTCAACAACTATCACTTATTATGTAAGATTTTAGTCCACTAAAACGGTAACGTATGTAACTATTTACCCGGTAAGTGTTTATCATGGTAAGAGTGATCGCTCTCATTTACGAGGTAAGACTCATGGTTTTTGTCTCGTTCTTACTGGATAAAATTCTTAATATGCATATGTATATATAAAAACTAGAAAATATTTTCAATTACTTATATCTACATGTTGGTGTAAGGGACTCCATTAGTGGTCTTAGAAAGACAAAATGTATGAAACCTTATCCTGATGAGGGTTGAGGATGGCACTTGTTTTCATGTGACTCACCACTTTCAATATTACACCTCATCTTCCACAAGTCATTGTCCCCTTTGGGGAAAAAAAATTCAATAATCAAATACAATAAAAGTTGTTCATTTAGTGGGTGTTTTTTTATATTAAATAATTATTAAAATGGTACTTATGCAGCAAGATATATATATATATATATATATTAATGTTTTGTATTATTTTTGTTTTAATAGATATTATAATAAAGTTTATATAGTTTTAAGAAATGAATGATGTTTTTATTTTTGAATAAAATATAAATTTGAATATATCATAAAATTTGGAAAATGAATATATCGATATTATTATCAAATTAACTATTTAAATTTTTTTGATTTTTGTGTAATTTTTTTAATTCAATTTTTTTATTATATTTAGATTTAATAACGAAGTAATTTATTTTTAGATTAATAATATAATTTTTATAAGAATAATAATCAAGTATTTTATTAGAATTCAATGATTATCCTAATTATATTTTAGATTTTTTGTATTTAAAATGAAATGTTTATCTTGTATTTGACTATATTTATCTGCAATTAGTTATAAGAATTCAAATATAGAGCTTTAATAAGTTTTAATTACGTACAATTTATTTGTAATCTTGAACTTTAAGTAATATGCATCAATGAACAGTACTTCATGCATAAAGAATGGTTTTTAAAAGTTTTTTGTCAAATGCTTTATAATATAGTATAGATTAATGCGATTGAATATAAAAAAAAACTATTTGGTTTTATATAATGATAAGTTTATTCTTTTATAGGCTCAAATTTTCATTACCTGTCATTTTTATTCCTCTCCATGAACCAAACAATCCCTAATCGTTATCTGACACCCTGTTTTCCCTTTCAACCACTTCAAATTAACGTCGTTCCGATTTGGTTGATAGGTGGCGGAGTACCCAACCTACAAGCCAGAAGACGAGTATCATAGCCATTACTCGGGGATGGAATACATTGAAGGTGAAGACGGAGAGCTATCATGGTTCAACGCTGGAGTACGAGTGGGTGTCGGGATTGGTATGAGCGTTTGTTTGGGGCTCGGTATCGGTGTGGGGTTACTGGTCCGAACATACCACGGTACAACCCGAAACTTGAGAAGGGGACTTCTTTGATGTGCAAAAAATCAACAAGAGTTGCATGAAATGAAAGGAAAGTGAGGAGGAGTTTTGTAGCATATTTATGTGATGTTGATGTTGGTAGGTATAGTTTAGTTGCTGACTGTTGTTTATGTGTATCACCCTCTTTGTTTTGATTTTTGTCACCAAAAGGTTGATAGGAATAAAAGTTTTTGGTAACCAAAAAGTCTGTTTTCAATATGTTTCGAAACCGAAAGCAGCCTAAAAGGCTCGTTGCAGCTCAAGACTTGTGTCTCACGTCACGTTCATGTCATGGCGTGATGCGCAGTTTTTGTAACATGGTATTTGATTTACTCATCTTTTTTAATGCCTTATTTGTTAGTTTTAATATTTAAAATTCATACAAATTGTTTAAAACTTGTAAATACTAACTTTAAAAACACGAATTTTCAACGATTTCTTTAACCGGTCGAACAGGTCGCCTTGTAAAATAAAACAACCAAACCAAGTACCAACCGGTCTGCGTGCCAGTCTCTAAGGGTGTGTTTGGTGCGTTGGACAGGGTGTGACAGGACAGGACAGAACACATTTGTCCTACGTTTGGTGTGGCTTTATGTGGAACTAAGTAGAACTAAGTAGGACAAGGGTGGGACACGGTTGTTCACCGTACTCAATTTTTTTCCCACACTACCCTTTCCGCCTCCATCGCTTCCTGCGGACCTAACCCCTTTCTTCCCCACACCCTTTCCCCGTATCCGCCTCCATCGCCTCCTTCACAGCAATCGGCGGCGACTTCTGCTCAATCAACGACTTCTACCTAAATCGGCGAGTTCTCCCTTCTCCATACTCAGGTACACGATTGCTTCATCTCGATTTTGTTTCTAATCGGCTGTTTGCTTGAACCCGAAATCGATTTCTTGAACCGATTTCTTGTTTGCTTGAACCCTAAGTCGACCTTTTTATACTTTAAGGAACCCAAACACACATTGTTAAGAAAGATTGAAGAAGAATAAAACCAAAAAGCAAGTTGAGGTTCATAACAGTCGGCCATAAATAGCTCCCCTAGAATTTCAAAAGCAAGTTGAGGTTCATAACAGTCGGCCATAAAAAGCTTAAAAAATCTCTTCAGAAAATGGTAGAATTAACAATGGAAGTATAGTTGGTGAAGGGATTTCTCCTTCCAGCAATGTTTCTATGGTAGAATTAACAATGGAAGTATAGTTGGTGAAGAACACTCGATCAACTGTTTCTATGAGCAAAATATGTTTGTTGCTAGCCTTCTTTTGAGGAAAAATTCATAATTGAGAATTGTATCTTTGAGGTTTACTGTTTAGGAAAAGAAAGATGACAAATGAGGATATGGATGTTGGTAGAAGTTTAAAAAATGAAGTGTCTCACTTGTGCTGCATCAAAGGAGTGTAAAAGAGAAGTGATGATGGATGTTTATATGGGAATATATGTTTTTCTTACTGTTTTACCTTTCATGCAATGATCTATATTGATGTCTTATTTTACTGTTTTATCTAGAATAGATGCCTTTTCTTACCGTTTTATATAGAATAGATGCATATTGATGAATATAGTTGGAACGTTTTATAGTGACTACATCTCACTTTTTTTATGCATATTGATCAAGTTATTGCTATTAGCATGTATTTTGCCGATAACCCGATTCAACTACGCCTATGGAATAACATTAATGTTACTTTGAAGCCAAAATTTGTGACGACCATCTTAAAAAAGTTAGACATGTAATGTTGGTTGGTAAACATTTGATCTTTTGTGTTTAAGTCTTTTGGTACACAATTGTAAACATTTGATCTTTTGTGTTTAGGTCTTTTGGTAAACATTTCAATTTTTGTTGGTGAATATGATGTTTAAATCTTTTAATTTATGAATGTAAGTTTTTAATTAAGATTGATTTTGAAAATTTTTTGGTATTTTTAAATAGTATTTGTAAACATTTATATTTATTATTTAGTGAAAAAACACTACACATCTCACTGGGGGTAAATTGATCATTTTAACCAATTCTGTCATGTCCTGTCATGTCTTATCAAACACTGAACCGCTGTTTTGTCATATCTGTACACCAAACGCAACCTAATTGTGTGGGTTAGTGGACTCATGGATTTGGTGGCCTGGTGGGCAATAAAAATGAACAAATTGCAACACAATGTCAGCACCGCATCAATGCCACATAACATATTCCTTATTACTTACAAGTATATACGTATCCGTCCCAAAAAAAATTTAGTTAACTAAATGATCGTTTACTTGTAATAATAAAGATGAAAATTTTCTCAATCTCATAATTAAAGATCATATGTAAAAGTAGACACTTGTTTTTTTAAAATGGACATTTTTTTGTTAATCGTGATGTACGAACCGGCTTGCAAGCACCTCTACTGATCTTGGGGGTCTTACGAAACAGTAAAAAAAAAATACCCAATGGCCTTGCAGAACTCAAACCGATGACCTCTAAGAAGAATCCCAAGGTTGATAGACACTTATTTTAAGACAAACTAAAATAGAAACGTGAAAACTTATTTTGGAACAAGGAGTAGATGGTTTTGGGAAGTTAGAAATGGCGTTTACATGAATAGATATATCACATAAACACGATGCCATTTGCCTATTTATAGTGATGACCAAATTCCAATTCTAAACTCTCCCCAGTTTATGCTTTTTTAAACATAGTGGTTTTCAATGTTTTTGGATCTACAAGTACTTGAAGACCAACCCATATATTAGAACCATCCAATTACAAACATATTTCAAGACAGGCAACAAAGCAGCAGTTATATATGTACAAAACACAAACAAGTGTTCCAAAATACAAGTTTAGTATACACAATGCTGTACTTAACACGCAAAGTAAAGCTAACACGCTACTAATTTAGGACTCAGGAAGTTGGTTCTGATCACCTGGTAATTGTCGGTTTGCACGCCGAAACCAGGTGGTGAATGCCGAGACCAAATGAGGGCAGTCCTCCACATTTCTAGTCGAAAAGCTCAGACACTGCTGCAACAGTTCTTGGGCTTCAGACATCGGCAGCGTCAAAATGATTTTCAAGAATCTTTCTTCCAGTTCTAAGTACAATGATTTATGATTTGTCAGCATTGGTGTGCCATTGTCTTTGCATACAATCAAGACTGGCAGCCAATCTTTCACCAACTTCATCCGAACCTGCAACACAGAAACCACTGGAATTAAGCCAACCATTACTTGTGTTTAACCAACTGATTCTTGTGGCCATCATAAAACTGGAGGTTGTAATATCGACTGTTACTTCACCACGTTTTTGGATCATATAAAATTCGCTAGAATGAAAAGGTGAACCACTGCTAACAGGCAGCAGTAAACACAACAAGAAGTCAGAAAAGTACAACTCCCAAATAAAAGAATAAGTTGTGGGTGATACTCACTGATAACACACAAACACTAGTTCCTGTTCTCAAGGAAAACTGTTCACAACATGGGGAAGTTTAAACGAAGGTAGAATCATCTTTTCCAGTTTGGTGCATTGTCCCTCCAAGAACATGCACAATGGAAAACTTAAACTAGCTAAGAGGGTTTTTCACGTTGGCAATCAAATGGATTGCTTTGCAGGTTAAATGGTTGTATATTACAGATATTTTGGATCTTTTCCCCTCTAGTTACAGTTATTTCATAACAAATGCAATTGGAAAGTACATTGTAACTTGTAATAAGGTAACAACTCAATATCAGTTTCGCAGTTGGTAAATATTAGGTTTGATAAAAACCCACAATGTGTTCTTCTATAAACCGAGAAGTATTTCCCAATTGCGTCATGAGTGACCTCCCACAAAAGCAACAAGTGCAAAGACCTCTACTCTAGAAAAGAGAAACGAATACACTAACCACAGCTTCTACAACAATTAGGCAAAAGAAGGATTAGAGGTGTTGAAACAAGACCCAACCCACACTACATGAATCCTCTTCCTCCTCTCATTCTACCTCAATATGGGGGAAAAAGTTCAAGCAATGGCATTTTTCATAGAAAAATTGCAACCAAACTATAACCAGGATAAAAAGATAAAATCTGACATGGGTGTGGCATAATCATACATTCATACTCAGTACCTGCGAGTACTAATTACAAGATATTCGGTATTCAAATTATAAACAAGTAAAGGTAGCCAAGACTATAAAAGTTTCTAAAGAAACAAGATATGAATAAGAATCATACAACCAATATAAAGACGAACTGAAGCCAATAACATGCATTGAACATAAAGCCAAACTGAAAAAGCATACCTGTCTAGAAGCCAAAATAACACCAGCAGCAACCGCATTGGCGAGCTTGCAGGTACATCTCAGAACTACAGCAGGAAGACCGGGAACGATATTTCTCCAGGCATCATCCCTAAACGCCCTCTGCAAGTCCGCTGTGAAAGCAGACTGCTCACTCCACTCCTTCACAGCTGTATCCGCCACTCTAAGCTCGATCATCCGCTCAATCAGCCACAGCAAATGCCTCCCGTTCGTCATTGCAGTATGCAAATTCAATCTCTGAATCGCCTCCGTCTCGTTATGATCCCCACGGAAGTCCGGACTAGAGTACTCCTCCAACGACTCCTTCACCACCTTCAAACTGGTCTCAAAAGACTTATCCAACACTCTCCTCGCGGATTCCCTGGATGAAAAGTCCCTCAGTAGCTTTGCAACGAACGCCTTCGCGAACGCCATGTTTGGATGATTATGAATCGCTGTCAATATCAATCCATGAAGCATTTCCTCGGATAAGTCTGATTTAGGAGGTGAGACCCTCGCTAATAGTTCTGAAGACTCCTCATCTCGTAAAAGAGGAATCAAACTCAACACAGTTTTCTCTTCCTCCTCTGTCCATGGCACTGCTTCGAGGTATCGGACACAGGCCGTTACGCAGTCCTCAAACAGTAATTCCAGAGCAATCGGAAGTAACTCCAGTGCTGTTGACGCCGAATCGATGGTGCTCGATATTTCATTGGTATAAAGAAGTTGAAGAACCGTCACATGATTGTTGATAGAACCTGCAGAAGACGGAACGGCTAAATTGAACCGGTAATAATCAATTTCACCGGAATCTTTCTTCCAACGATCAGACAAAAGCGCGGAAAAATACTTGGAACGCTGAAGAACGGAAGAGTGGAGATAGATCTGAAACTCCGACGTCGAATCAACAGCCGATACCGTTTCGGAATCGTCCGAATCAAAGGGGGAGGACTGATCAAGATAGAGACGGAGGATGACGTCAGCGGTTGCAGGATCATTGAAGCCATTGGAGACGGGCGACGGCAGAGGGAGGATTGAATGGCGGGAATTAGATCGCCGGATGGATGATGTTGGTAAGGGTTTGTGAGACGCTTCAATTAGGGTTCCGTCGGTACGGGAAGAATCGATCAGCGCAGCGGTGGATGAGAGACGGCTGTTGCTTCCGACACGGTGCCTCTTCTTGGATCCACCATTACCGCCATTGCCACCACCACCACCACCACCACCACCGCCACCGATCATCGTTTCTGAAAAGATTGTAAAATGAAGAGTGAAAATGAAATTCGTTTCAGGGGAACGTCAATCGTTGAAGGTTTTGATTTAAGGGCTTATCGGTAGGTATAGCCGTTTGATTAGTACACGAACCATCTAAAGCCTGTGACGGATTCTAAATCGTTGGATGGATAAGGACTTGTAACGATGTATACGTGGCAGGCACTGGCTGGAGAATAATCGAGTCTACATGATAAGTGTGATGGAGGCGACCTACGTGGGTAAGAAGCGATCTTATCAAACACTTAATGAATAATGTAAAGATCCAGAATCTAAACCGATAAGACTTGATCGTAATAGCAAGTTTTTTATTGGTTAGGTGAGTGTGACGATTTTTATTTAGTTAAAGTAGTTGTTTGGTTGTTGAATGAGTTGATTCAAAATGATTAATTAGTCAGAATGATTAAGAGGTTTTTATGATATCGAGAAAAATGAAATATAATTGTTTGGTAATTGTTTACGATGAAATTAGGGCTCTTAATGGTTAAGAGAGACCTAGGATACAAGATCATTCAGAGGTTTTATAACCATTAAAAGACAAAAAAAAAATTTTTGTCAAACAAGATCCACCTCTTAAAGATTCAGATGTTACTTTTTAATATAACTATTAAGAGATAAACAAACAACCCCTTAGATTTTTATCTAATTATTGTTTATAGGGTTGTAAAATGTAAATCATGTGAGTTGAGCTTGTGTATTGATATACTCGACTCGAACTCGATAGTTATTTTTCAACCTCGAATTCAACTCGAAAGCTTGCGAATGGTTAAACATTAAACCCAACTTAAACTCGATTACAATTTTTTAAACTCGAGCTCGAACTGCAACTTGAATCAAGCTGAAACTTGAACTCGAATCAAGCTTAAACTAAGCTCATTCATTGAAATTTTATAGTTTTCTCTTATAAATTTTAAAACATAACAATGTTCTCTTAGTTTTTTTTTATAAAACTAAAGGAATTCACTTCAAACTTCATCAACAAAAAAACAAAGTTAGAAACTCTATTCACATTCCTCTCTTTTTATAATATCTCTTCACCATTCTTTTACGATCTCTCTTTTATTTTCCAAAATGAGACGACTTCACCAATACTTTTATAGTTTTTTTAATTATAATTTTAATAAAAAAAGTATCGATTAGTTTTTGTAGTTAAAAAAATAAATAATTTTGTTCCAATATCTAAAAATATAAGATATTTTTATTATTTATATTTTATAAATTATATTATAAAAAGTGATTATATTTTAAAACTAATTACATATAAAAATATCGAGTATTATGCGTATACGGATGTTAAAATCAATGATCCATTGTCGTCCAGCGGTTAGGATATCTGGCTTTCACCCAGGAGACCTGGGTTCGATTCCCGGCAATGGAATTTTTATTCATCTTCAAAACGTTTGAATTTTGTTTACCAATTTCTCAATCTGGAAGTGAATCGCATTATACAAATTCTAATTCTTAATGAAGAAATTGATCTTATCATCTTCAAGTTTTTTTGAGTTACAAGCGATACAAACTCTTATTGAAGAAATCGATCTCATCATCTTCAAGTTTTTTTCGAGTTACAAGCGAAGAGGAGTAGAGGACGATGAATTAGGGCACAAATTGTGCTTAAAATTCATAAGTTTGGAGGGGGCGAAATCCGTTTACCAGCTGGAGGCTTGGAACCGACTCGAATCAAGCTTATAGTTTGGTAAGTTTGCACGCGGAGTACCGGCCTGCGAGCTAACAGAGACTGCGAGTTCTCAATAGTCAATAGTTGAGCAAAACCGCCTGCTACTTCTCGAAACCGACGGTATAATTTCTTTTACTTTTCCGATGATTTGGCTGTTGAATTTATATCTTCTCGTTACTGTAAATGAGCATTGCAGCTGCGGCTGATGCATAAAAGCAAGGTAAAATCCAGTTGCTTCCGGTCGCGACGAATCTGGTTCATTACCGGAACTAGAAATGGACTTCACTAAACCCTATTTGCATCTAAAAGCAGACAAGGGGTCTGTTTGTTAGCAGCTTACTGAGCTTGGTCTCGCAGCTTATTCGGTCAGTTATGATGGACTTTTTTGGTAGTGGCTCAATGATATAGAAAATGACTTATTTAACAATATTTTTACAAACCTACCCCTCCTGATTAAAAACCACACTGCTTTGGTCTATAAAAACCCTCCCAAACAAAAACCTTCCCAATCTATACAAAGAGATTAACCTCTTATCCATACAAGACTTTATGGATGAAACTGTCTGCATGGATTAATGTCTTTGTAGATTGAAAAAGTTTTTGTTTGGAAGAGTTTCTTCATAGATGGAAGGAGCGTAATTTTTATTTGGGAGGTACAGGTTTGGAAAAAAAACTTGGCTTTTTACATTAGCCATTTTATATATCATCAAACCACTGCCAAACACTCATGTATAGCAGGTCAAATAAACTGTAAGTTCCATTAAGCTCATTAAACTGCTAACAAACATGCCCTTAAACGGACTAGGACTAGTTGGCTACTATCTCACGAATTGCATAATTGACAGATTGGTTCTTGGATCTAACCACAAGCTTCATTGCGACTTCCTTGGCAAAAGCACAACGTGTCAAATTAAATTATACGATATAGATTTTAAACAACCAAAACTGAACAATTGTTCATTGTCTTTCCATAATTATGAACAGGAATTTAAACAACTGAATTAAATGTTGCCACTGCATATCATTTTAGACATTGGTGGTTATGCACGTGCTTCAAAGATGGTACAAATTCGATGAAAGACTTTGCATTCTGAATGATCTAAGGCTCAAAGCAAATTATTCAACTAGTCCGACATCTGGCAGTCGAGGGTCGCCATCTGTTTGATCTAATGCCGGAAAGAAAATCATGTTAACTCTCACAATAATGTTTCCTGTACTCCGAGTTGAGTTTTTTGTTGCTCTGCAATTCTGCATATAGCCCCCCTCAATTTTTATTATTGTATAGCTTTTGCTTATTCCCCTTTTGTCGTTCTCGTCAATCAGGTGTTCTGATTTGTTCGGTGCATCTCACCTGATCTGCCACCCGAGTGGAAAATCTCCCCTGTGCTACCTTGATCGCCACTTGAAAATTCTTGGCTTGATGTAGCGTACTTCCCGTATTTCTTATGCAAATCAACCTCTGAGCTCCCTGCACTTGACAAGCCGCCACTCTTAACATCATTTAGGTCATCCAACGAAGCCTCACCTTCCAATGCACGGATAACCTGTTGAGATTCACGAGTTATGTTAGAGTCGGCTAGACTTGGACCATTTATCTTGTATATGTGTTGGGTCCTCCCTTTTCTCTTTCTCCTCAAGGGCTTTTTTGGAGAATGATCTAGGGCTTCCACATATTCTCACATGGTATCAGAGTCGAGGTCCGCCACTCTAGGGACTCAACACTCTGGCAAACCCCCTCTCGACACCTTGGGACAATTTGTGTCCATCTAGCCTTCGTTGGAGGGGGTTTGTTAGAGTCCCACATTAGCTGGACTTGGACCAATTCTCTTGTATATATATGCTGGAACCTCCCCTTTCTCCTCAAGGACTGTTGCTTGCCGGCTTCCACATATTTTCATATGGCATTAGAGCAAAGGTCTACCACTCTAGGACTCGATACTCTGGCTAATCCCCTCTCGACACCTTGGGACAATTTTGTGTCCATCTAGCCTCCATTGGAGGGTGTCTGTTGGAGTCTACATCGGTCAGACTTGGACCTATTCTCCTGTATATATGTTGGAACCTCTCCATTCTCCTTAAGGGCTCTTTTGGAGAGTGATTTGGGACTTCCACATATTCTCACATGTTACATGAATTGTTTGCTTATATTGTTCTTTGAAACATTGACCTAAAATCGATGTAACATACCTGGCTCATCCTTGGGCGTCTTCTTGCAGAATGTCTAAGACAAGCTGATGCACATACTACCATGCGATACATCTCCTCTCTGTCGTAGTTATTCCCCAAACGTGGATCCACCAGCTCTTCATAGCTTCCACCTTCTGCTGCTTGATTTAGGATAGGTCTAGCCTGCACAACACAAGAAGTGACAAGAACATGTGGGATATATATATATATATATATATAGAACATGTCAAATATCGAAGTAGAAAGGGTAATCATAGAAGTTCTACCCAGTCGATTAAGGTATCATCGTCACTAACTGACTCCATGGGTCGTCTACCAGTAATCAATTCCAAGAGCACGACTCCATAGGAAAACACATCAGACTTCTCTGTAAGCTTACCGCTGGATGCATACTCAGGTGCCAGGTACCTTCATTTACATATCCCTTGGTTCAGTTTCTTGTTCATTTAGGGTGCATTTGGTACCCGGACATCACAACTGTTCAGTGTTTGGTAAGACAAGAATGGATAGGACAGAACTGGTACCCTCAATGAGTTGTTTATATATGTTATATATATGTTGATTAGTTCATGTAATTTATCAAATTATAATAAAAACAAATATATTTTATAACAAAATATATTATTAAAAAGTTTTCGTCAAGACGATTAGAACGACATCAAAATATGAAGTTTATTAATTTCCAAATTTTATTTTATACCTTTGCTGTATTATTTTTTATTATTACTATTTAATACATTACATAAATTAACCTAAATAATGAAAACATATGAAAATAATATTTTGAGGACAGTAATATGAAAGTTTAAAAAGGATAAAATACAAAAATTTAAATTTAAAGAATGGATAAAATGTAAAGAGGGAGATGTATTTGATTTTTTACTTAGAATTAAGTATTATTTTAAGGTATATTGGTAAAATATAGGCTTGTTCCATGGGGTGGGGATAGAACATTTTGTTCCACCCTATTCTTATCTGTTTCATAAAATATAGGCTTGTTCCATGGGGTGGGGATAGAACATTTTGTTCCACCCTATTCTTATCTGTTTCATATAAAAGTCCTGCCAAACGTGGAATAGTGATGCTTGTCCTGTTCTGTTTTTTCCTTATCGGTGTACCAAACACACCCTTATATATATATATGGTAAAATCATGGTGATTGAGTACTTAATGATGAAAATCTTGCCATTTTAATCCTTACATACCCAAATGTTCCCATAACACGCGTTGACACATGAGTGTTTGTGTCTGATGAAAGCTTTGCAAGCCCAAAATCTGCTACCTGATCCATAAGAAGCATCTTAGCACCATTGATTTCCGTGTAGTCGATTACTATGTTTGCTTTCTTTTGTGTTTGATTTCAGAGTGAGTTTAGAATGATTGTTACCTTGGCCTCGTAATGTTCATCAAGCAGTATATTTGCAGCCTTAATGTCTCTATGGATGATGCGAGGATTACCTACATGCCATTATCGATACTTAGATTATTGCATACGGGGTTAGGTTCACATAAGACCAACCTGTTTTCGTTAGATCTGTGAGAACAGAAAATAGCACTGAAACTTCATAGCAAAAACAATGTGAAGGTACAAAAAACACCGGACTTTCACTGTACCTTCACATCAAAAAGATTATGAAGGTTCAGTGTTATTTATGTGTCTCACGGGTCTCATGCAACATCAAAAAGATTATGAAGGTTCAGTGTTATTTATGTGTCTCACGGGTCTCATGCAAACAATCTGGTCTCACATGATTCTAAGTCTTGCATACATGCATATACATATAGGATATATGTTCGTAGGGTTGGGTTCATGTGATACACCGAACCTTCACAACAAAAACACTGTGAAGGTTTACCTTCAATGTGTTTTGCTGTGAAGTTTGTATTATTTATGTGGTCTCACGGGCCTCACGGAAACCTACGTGGTCTCACGTGATTCCAAGTGTAGATATTTACAAGTGAGGGAAAGGGGGGGGGGGGTCTTACAATCTTCATGAAGATAAGCAAAACCTTTGGCTGCTCCCAATGCTATTTTTAACCTTGTTGAGCAGTCCATAACTGGCGCACCCTCCCCTGCAAATAAACCATGGATAACTTGAGTAATATAGGAATTCAATATATTCCAGTTGGAGGTGGGATGTAAGCAGACTTGGCCTGTAACATCCTAGGCCAACTGTAACATCCTAGGCCAACTGTACCAGATATCGTCCGCTTTGTCCACACTTGGACTCACGGTTTTATAATGCATCTGATAAAGGAGGTGTCAAGTTCCTTATAAGGCAACCTTTGTTCCCCTCCTCAACCGATGCGGAATCTTACATCTACCCCCAAAGAGTAGAGTGATTGGTCTGTGAAGTGAAACTCCCCAACTTATGAAAAGAAGTAAAAGATAAACCAATTGTGGGTCCAAATCATACCATAAAGGTGATACTCAAGGCTATTGTTGGGAATAAATTCATAAACCAATAATTTTTGCTGCCCTGCGAGACAATATCCGACTAGAGATACAAGGTGTCGGTGATGCACGCGACTAATGATCTCGACCTCAGCCTGAAATTCACGTTCCCCTTGGCCACTAGTAGATTTAAGGCTCTTAACAGCTATCTCTTTTCCGTTTGGTAAAATTCCTTTGTACACATACCCGAATCCACCTTGTCCTAGAAGTAGAGACCTATCGAACCCTCGGGTGGCTGCAGCTAACTCATCGTACGAGAAAGTGCTTTTATTGAAACCAAGGGCTACAGCTGGGTGTGGAGGTGGCAAAGGGGCTTGGTAAGGGCCAGAGAAATTTGCAGAGCTGAACTCACCACTACCCGACATCGGTGGTGGTGGGGGTGGTGGTGCCGCCACCCATTCGTGCTCGGAACTTGCGGGACCACTACCAGGTGGTGGTGGCATCTTTAGATGAATGTCGTTAGGTGGTTGAGATTGGTTCCAAGCGTTTTTCTGCGAGGCATAATACCCATTGTCTGCAACCAAAAAGTTCCAACATAATTACAATGAATTACAACGATATTCCTGGTTGGCCAAGATTCGAAATTTTATTCATATGCATACTATAAATCTCGAACGGTTGTATATATTTAATGAATCCTTAACAAAGAAAAGACCCCGATAAAGCTCTTATTGTGAAAACTCTTGAATGCCAATATATTTAATGCCTGTTTTTGAGCGGGATATACTGTGTTTCTTTGGTTTGATTTACTGAACGTGGGTGATCTGGGAACATGCATTTTGTTGTTAGATCTAGACTTCCTTCCGTTTAAATTCAAGAAAACATTTGGATTGAGGACGATGATTAATAGTCGACGATGAACAAAAATTCAGAATCTATTAACAAGATATCGATATGATAAATAGAGAAATGATGCAAAAGTTATACCATTTTCGTTAGCATTGTCTTTATAATAATACATCTCTTCATGTCGTCTTCTCTTTTTCCTCTTGATACAAGCTAACACACATAATATCATGATAAAGAACAACAATCCTGCTGCAGCTATTGCTCCCGCCGCAATCAACAGGTCATTACTGGTGTCATTAACATTATTCGGTTTATGATGAGGGTGTTTATGATGACGTGAGGACGGAGGCGGTGGAGGAGGAGGAGGAGGTGGTGGTGGCGGAGGAGGCGGCGGCGGCGGGGGCGGCGGAGGTGGTGGTGGAGCTTTTTGTTTCGGCATTTTTGAAATCAAAGTTTCTGGATGTTAACTGGGGTCCTAAAGTTGACCGTGATGGTCACTGTAAACGACATATCATGAATCTTGATTGAATTCAAGTTTGATGTTTTTTTGGGTCTGAATGAAATGAAGATTGTTCTTGTTTTACAGGTGAGATGAGAGAGAGACGGAAAAGAAATGGAGGAGAGAGAAAGGTACCCGTGGGTGAAGGGTGGATTCTCAAAGAGAAACCTGTTCAACGGGTGACTTGTTTCCATCCCCAGACACTTCCTACAAGTATGCCACCTAAATTTCTCTTCTTCGTTTCCTACAATTTTCATCTAAATCCATTTATGGGGGTCTTTCTGTTGTTGCAAAAATAGGGTAGTTTGCAAATGGATCTCAAAACCCAACAAAAAATTCCTATTTTTTTTATAAACCTGGATATCCAACCCGCTATGCGAGCCGACTAATCCCAGTGCGAACACCTGCTTTTTCAACCCAATATATTCAAAACATTGTCATATTGCACATTTTTTGTATATACTTTTATATTGTTTAAAAATATGAATTACAAATAAGTTGATAAAATGAAGCAACAAACTAGAATGCAATTTTATAACAGAGTAAATTATGATTTTCATCTATGTGGTAAGTGGTTTGTTGATAATTTTCATTTTCATCCTTGCGGTTTAGAAATTGCGATTTTGGTACCTATGGTTTGCAATTTATTGCTATTTTTGTCCTTGGACTAAATTCTTACCTTTAGGTACCAAGGGACCAAAATAGTAACGAATTGTAAAAGAGAGGGACAGAAACAATGATAAATTGTAAATCATAAGGACGAAAATAACACTGAACCTTCACAACAGAACACTGTGAAGGTTCATAGTGTTTTTGCTGTAAAGTTTGAGTGTTTTTCGTACCTTCATAATGTTTTGTTGTGAAGTTTCGTTGTTATTTTATAGTCTCACATGTCTCATGAAAACAGACTGGTCTCACGTGAACCCACCCGTATAGTCTATTGGGGCAAGTTTGAATTAAATTCCGTTCTTTATGAATAATTATAAAAATAATTAGATTACCTTTTATTAACTGATTATTACGAAACAAATGTCTTTAATATATTTTTGAACATTATTACATACAAATCTATGAAATCCCGTGAAATACCAACCAACCCCATTGGATTTCTAAATTCTATGTTTGTGGGATTTCAATGATTTCAAATCCAGGAAATCCTTCAAACCAAACATGGAACTGGAATGGAATTCAATTCCGAATACATCCAATTCCAATCCAATCCTCCAAACCAAATGGGACTTTAGTATTGCAATCTATAGTCTTTTTTGGGTATTTACACATGAATGATGGTTGGTTATGTGATTAAAGGCCAAATACAATGATTCAAGAAGTCTAGCACTAAGTCAATTCTACCCATGTGTATATAAAACCAAAACCAAACGAGCCTAATAATCCTAGCCGGAAGCCGGAGATAGGGTCTAGGTGGGTAAGATGTACGCAAACACGAGCTCTACAAATATTAGGGCGGTTGTTTAAATGAAGACCCCTGACTTGTGAAAAGTGTGTGAAAGAGAGAAATGCATATAAGATAGAAGTACGAGAAGTCTTCTAAACTCTACCAACTTTGTAGTAATTTACTTAAGCTATATCAATCATGAAATGCTGCATTATGAATTCTAATATAACGAAATATCTTGCAGGCAAGCCCTTTGGATCTGGAAAATTTCCCGTTTGTTGTTCTAGGTAACGAGGTTGATATCGACGGTGGCAATGGTCGAGTGGTATGTTCACCAAATTTACAATCAAAATTACTTCAATTTCTTTATGCGGATGTCCAAATTAATACATATTTCTCTTGTTCTCTCTTTGATGATTATCGTAGATTTACTTTTGAAATATTTCTTTACTTGGAATCCTATGACACTTTGTTGCTCGTTCTGTCATGATAACGCTTTCTTGGCAGGTTTCTGCGAAGAAAGCCCACACTTGGTGTGAATCGAAAGGGAATAACCGTATTTTGAGATGTCTGCAAAGGTTGGAATCAACATTGACGAAGCTTTTGAAGTGATTGCGAAGAATGCCTTGGAGAGTGGCTAAGAGGAAGAAATGTAAGTTGCAAATCAAGTCCCTTGGGGTGCGTTTGGTACGTAGACAGGACGGACATGTCAAGACTGGTTGGGTGAGAATGAGGTATGTGGGTGAATTTTTTTTACAAGGTTTTAGGGTTTTAATATGATATGGGTAGTTTAGTAATTTATCAATCTTGTCTCGTCTTGCTGATTTTTGTTCCTTCCTATTTTCGTGGGACAAAAAAATACATTTCCCCCCTTCAGTCCCGTCATGTCCTGTCATGTCCCATGTACCAAATGCAACATTCAAAAAGTGCAAAAACCGTAACACTAATGCGATGTCGTTCTTTGGTCGATATCTCCTTGTTAAGATACTTGCCCGATACCATTAATGTTGGAAATACGAGTCAAACAAGGGCCTCTGAATGCGACTGCTAGAAACAAGTTTCCAAAGCCCAGGTTTGGTCATCTCTGGTCACTACTAATTACTAGCTTGTATTCATGTTTAAACCGTAAATTTGGTTTGAATTTGTTTGTGTTAACCGGTCGACTGACATGGACCATCATGTAAGGGTTTGTAGTCCAGCTGCAGTCGTTTTCAAGGTTCGGCTAAGCAGGTCTGGACCGGATGGGTTGCATTTGTTGGTGAGTTCACTCAGGTTGTATTTAATGATGTTCAGATTGAACTAAATATTCATTTTCTTGTATGTAACCAAATGATGTGAAGCAATTCATATGAACCTTGGATGCATATATGAAGATATTGTTCAATTTCTTATTCTAATGGATCCTTAAGGTAGCGTTTGGTACGTAGACATAATTGGACAGGACTAAACAAGACAGGACAAGATGGTAGGACTGGACAGGACATGACTGAACATAACAGGAGTATGTCTGGTGTTTGGTACGACTAGGACTGGACATGATAGAACTAGACAAGCTACCCCAAAAGTTATTTGATGATTTTAAATATTATATAATAATTATAATTAACAAAAATAAAGTAAATAATTAAAGAATAAAGATTTGTACATAATTTTCATATTTGTACCAAATTTGAATGAAAGTTTTGATATAATTGATGGTAGTAGTGGTGGTGGTGGAGGTGGTTTTGGTTATGGTGGAGATGGTGGTGGCCGACGGTAGTAGTGGCAACGGGCGGTGGTGGTTGGTGGCCGACAGTGGTTATGGAGATAGAGGCGGTGGTGCTTGGTGGACGACGGTGGTTATGGAGGACATGAAGATGGTAGATTGTGGTGGTGATGGCAGTTGACAACGGTGGTAGTTATGGTGGTGGTGGCGGTTATAGAGGACATGAAGATGGTAGTTGTGGTTGATGTAGTGAAGATGGTGGTGGTGGTTATGGTGGAGGTGAGGTGGCAATGAATGGTTGTCGTGGAGGAGGTTGTTGCAGTAGAGGAGGAGTTGAAGGCGGTGAACGGCGGTAGTGGTGGTGACAATGGACGGTGGTGGTCGGTGGTCGACTATGGTAGAGGTGGTAATGGACTTGGCGGACGGTGGTTGTGAAGGCGGTGGAGGATGTTATTGTAGTGGAAGAGGAGGTGGCCGCCAGTGACCGTCGGTAGTGGCGGTTGTCGAAACTATCGGTGATGACCATTAAAACAAATATCGTATTAAAGTTATAAATCAAACTAGGGTAGATTAGTAATGTTTTAGTTTTTGTCACATTCTTGTCCCATCTTGTTCCACCTATTTTGGTGGAACAAGAAAACACCTCTTTTGTCTCATGTTGTCCCACCTTGTCCCAATTCTTGTCCCTGTCTCATGTCGCGCCAAACGTGGGACAGTGAGTTCTTGTTCTGTCCCATGCTGCACCAAACATGGGACAGTAGGTTTTGTCTCGTCATGTCCTGTCATGTCCCGTCTCATGTACCAAACGCAGCCTAAATCCTCTCTCTTATGAATTCCAAGTAACTCCACCGCCTTGTCGGGCGGTTCTAGAGGTCGGCAAACCGGTTGAACCTTGGACAGGGTCCCAACCTCCTGGCCTAATTTCATCGATAAAACTTGTTAGGGCGAATAACTTCGTTTTAACAACTTTTTGTAACGTAATTAATAGGAGTGGAATGTATTAAAATTCATTTATTTAAATTGTAAACTAAAAAGAAGTTTTATGTTAAAAGATGCAACTAAAACAACCATAAAAGTTGCTTTATTGACGGTATGTTTTCTAGTGAATATAATTCTTTTTCCAATTTAATCCTTATTTTAAACACATATGAAAACAGTTTGACAATCAAATATTTATATAAGACTACGGGGCTGTTTACCAAACACTTACCGGGTAAGCGCTTACTGGCAAGAGAAATTACCTCTCACTTACCTTATCATGTAACATTGTCGGTCATCAAAATGGATTGTTGTCTTGTTGGTAAGCGTCTTAAACCCGGTAACCGCTTACTGGGCAAGAGTCTTTTTCCTCACTTACCCGGTAAGATTCTTGGTCCTTGTTATGCCTCTTACCGGGTAAGATTCTTGGTTTTTATCATGCTCAATTGGGAACGTAAGTGATACCGGTAAGCGCTTACCCGGTAAGCATTTAGTAAACAGCCCCTACATATAATAACTCATTAAGCATTTACTGGTAGAAAGTAACATCTTAATTTACCGAGTAAGATTGTATTTTATCAAAACGGATTCTTTATGATATCTTTATGTTTATATCTTATTCAAAAATAAAAATATTATCGTTTTATCAAAACCATATAAAATCGTCTTATAACATCGACCGAGACAAAAAAAAATACATTAAAATTGAGATATATATTGGTGTATTTGTGTGAATATTCTTCTTTTGTGTATATATATACACCCCTTTACAAGTGTTTTTTACTAGTTGAAAAAGACAAACGCAATAAATTAAGTTTACTATCATACCCTTCAAACTAGTCATTATAAGGGATAAAATTGTCTTTTTACAAGTTATAAAAAACAGGAATGTGAACGGGATTTGCAAAAGCAGCAAGTATTTGAGAAAATTTCCAACAAATTATTAAAAAATTGAAAATTGAAAGTTAAAATCTTCATAAATGTTAAGTTTATCTCCAACACTTTTTTTATTTTWAAAATTACAATATTATTTATATTATTTAAATATTCAATATAATTTATAAAATATTATTTTTCTTTCCTACAATTTAATTTTAAGGATTGTCATTGATAGAAAAAATAAAAAATTATTTCTCTTTTTTAACTTTTTTGTCCCAAAATAAATGTCCACAAAAAAAAAAACAACACATAATATTATGAATGTATAATTATTACACTTTTTAAATAACATTTTTACCCAGAAAGAAACTTTGTACATCTCATAAGTGAGGGTAAAATTGGAAATTAGAAACTTACTTTTGAAAACATAAGCTTACTTTGAGACAAACTAAAATAGTAATATGAATATCTAATTTGGGACGGACGGAGCAATCACTTTGGGAGAGTTCTCCAAATCTGGAGATCTTCATTATCTCTCTCATGCTTTTTTCATTTTGGAAAAGGTTTTAAAAAATCTGTTGGAGAAAAAATTCTCAAAATCTCCATTTTACATAATCTCTTAGAGATGCTTTAACCCATCCTCAATGAAAATTGTAGAATTCGTCGGGCTTTTGGTCTAAGACGGGCCCGATTACATTCCTTTGTGTAACATAGTGATGGCCAAAAACCGGTCCCGGCCGGGGACTAATCGGTCCCAAGCTTTCTCATAACCGGTTCCGCTCGAAAATGGTACGACCAGTTAAGGTACTACATAAGCGGTTATGGGCCGCCGGTCGGTCCCGGTCCCAACCGGTCCCGGCATTAAGAAATAATTTTTTTTAAATTTTTTTAATGTTATACATTTTTAATACATTATAAATTTTACAATTAGGTTACTCAAATACATTTTAAAAATGCGTTTTAATATAATTAAGATTACATTTTCTTATAAAAATGCATTATAAAATTATTTAAAAATACATTTATTTATAAAATTATTTAAATTTTTACGCCGGACCGGTCTATAGCCGGTCCCATAACCTGTCCCGGTCCCACGAAACTACCAAAAACCCCAACCGGTCCAGGTTTTCGGTCACATAACCGGTCTCGGGCCGGGCCGGTTCTTTGCGGGTCCCGGCCTGGACCGAGCCGATTTGGCCATCACTAGACACTGTCCTAGTTGGGCCTAGGCTGGTCCTCAAACCCATTTGTGCATCTCTAGTATGATAAATAACTGAATTAGCACACCGACGATTCGACAAAATGTTTAACGCAAACTTTATTTGCATTCAAGAAAAATACATCTGGCATGTCGCGATCAAACGACACTAGTTTATCTTAGAAGATGCTAACTCGTGATCTTTTTGATTATACATCACATGAGAATGATAGATTATGAGATTTGGCTTTGTATCGAAATCTCTTGTGAATCGATCCCTGTTATTCTCTTTATCAGTCGAATCTTCACTCAGAACATCTTGAATCGCTTTTGGCATGGGCTCGTCTTTCATTATACTTCTCCAGTATTCTTCTGGACCTTTTCTTGCATCATTCATTCTTGCAAGCTGATCATCAATATATAAATATATATATATATATATATATATATATCAGTTCAATAATTATGAATAAAAATGTAGCTAAATAAGAACACGAAAAGAAACGCTTACCAGAACAAGGGAGAAGAGAAATACAAAAGTCGAGAGAGATTTCATGTTTGTATGTTGTTAAAAGGCTTTGACGAACTGAATACACAATTTATTTACTGGTATTTTATAGACGGTGTAATTTGATTTTCCGTATACGACTGTGGGTCCCACTGACATAAATGTAAAACAAAATAATCTAATAAAAGGAAGTTGTTAAATTATTTATATTCGAAATTTAATGAATGTAAATATAATACGAAAAATGAATCATTTAATTTGGTTGAAATATTACATTTAATATGTTTTTATTATATACGTAATTAAAACACATGGAAATAAATAAATATTTTACCTAATATAAATTATTTAAGTCGATTTATTTAGAATTAAAAATACTTTTTTATATGGTAATTAACCCTTATTATATATATATATATATATATATATATATATATATATAGGGTTGGGTTCACGTGAGACCAGCTTGTTTTCGTAAGACCCGTGAGACCACATTTTTACACGTAAACTTCACAGCAAAAACGCTGTGAAGGTTTAAAAAAAGTCAAACCTTCACAGCAAAAACACTGTGAAGGTTTTAAAAAGTTACCTTCACAGCATTTTGCTGTGAAGTTTCAAGTGTAAAATGTTGGTCTCACGTGTCTCACGAAAACAGGCTGGTCTCACATGATCCAAAGTCTATATATATATATATATATA